ACTATAGTAATTAAAAACATGCAGCCAAGTGTGGCTACCTCCAGCTGCTCCCTTTGATCCTAGCATTTGTTTCTATCTCAGTCCATCTCCAGCTTGTTGTCACCCAGTGACCTACTTACTTTATAAAACTGGACTAAGTGGAATTGGAAGAAAAGTTACACATTCCTTCTTTCTCCCTGCCCAATTAAAAGGGGAATGTAGCTACAAATTTAATGAGAACCTATGAAGGGTTAGCTATACATTGAATTTGGGTCATTGGGTAAAGAAGTAGATAGTTAGAAGTAATGTGAAGTAAAATTATGGATTGGTATGATTGTGCATGCCTGTAATTCCAGTGCTTTTGAGGCAGAAGCAGGGGGATAGTTTCAAAGTCAGTCTTGGCTATCTGTCAGGACTCTAAGTCAAAGAACATCAACAATAATAAACACACAGAGAAAAAAAGAAAGAGAGAGGGAGGGAGGGAGGGAGGAAGGAAGGAAGAGAAAGAAAGAGAGACAGAGAGAGAAAGAAAGAGAGAAATAGAGAGAGAGACAGAGAGAGATAGAGACAGAGAGAGAGAGACAGAGAGAGAGACAGACGGGGTGAAACCATGTGTTTCTTGAACTTAACTTCTGCATATTCTGAGTTTGGGATACATGTATATGACTGTGAACTTATATCTCTACTAGGTTGGAAAGAGTTATCTCAGACTTAACAGACTTTCAACCACCCAACTACCAACACAATTTTCTCCTCATTGCCTAGGGAAAGAGTGAGAGCATCCACAATTACTCAAAAGTAATTTTTTATTCTTCTCATTTCTTTACATACCAAGCTGGCAGTAACCTCTAGACTAATGGGGTGCTGTGGGATGTTCTGTATGGCAAATGTGTTGCTGATTAGTCAATAAATAAAACACTGATTGGCCATTGGCTAGGCAGGAAGTGTAGGCAGGACAAGGAGGAGAATAAAGCTGGGAAGTGGAAGGCTGAGTCAGAGAGACACTGCCAGCCGCCATGATGAGAAACAGCATGTGAAGATGCCGGTAAGCCACAAGCCATGTGGCAAGGTATAGATTAATGGAAATGGATTAATTTAAGTTGTAAGAACAGTTAGCAAGAAGTCTGCAACAGCCATAAAGTTTGTAAGCAATATAAGTCTCTGTGTTTACTTGGTCGGGTCTGAGCGGCTGTGGGACTGGCAGGTGAGAGGGATTTGTCCTGACTGTGGGCCAGGCAGGAAAACTCTAGCTACAGGTCTGGCTACAGAACACTGCAAAATCAACAAGATGGTTGATCTTGATTGCCAACTTCATTGGCTCTGGAATCAATTAAGAGCCATGCCTCTGGGCAGATATCTGAGAGCATTTTCAGAAGGATTAATTTATGGGAGAAGTCTTTTCCCCAGAGCAAGCAGAACCTTCGGAAGGTGGCCCACAAATGAAGAGGTCAGAGGGAAGAAGAGTGCTGTCTGCATGCCTTTGCTTATTGATGGTAAGGGCAGCAATTTCTGCTGCTCCTGTTGATGACATTCCCTGCTGACATCCAAGTCCATCTTCTTTGGATTTCAATGTGAACTGAAGATCAGCAGCTATGCAAGCATCTTCCAGGCCATCAGCATGAGATTGGGACTGCTGATGTATCTAGGTTCATGGACTGAAGAGTTATTGGGTTCTTGGCTTCTCCAATATGAAATGTCTATTGTCCTACTCAGCCCCTATTGATAGTAAGCCATTCTAGCAAATCCTCTTTATAGCATATATTCATTCTCTTGGCCTTGTTCCTCTTGAGTACTGGGTTACTAAGTACAGTATTTTCTACTTCCATGTCTCCAACTATGAAGCCAGTTTCCAGGATCCCTGTACTGCTTCCTATTTGTTCATTCTGCCTCTTTTTTTGCTCTTTTCTTCTCCATCTTCCATCCTCTGTATGCTTGCCTTTCAATAGAGCTTCCAGTAGATCATGCCACTTGTTTCAACCCCTCAGTGACTTCCCATTGCTACTGGAATAAAGAGCAATTCCATTCCCACAGCCTACTAGGCTATTTATGATGTACCTCAACACCTCTGACCTTTTCTTCCTTTCACCTCCTTACTTCACTGAGTAGGATGCTCTTACATGTATCTTCTAGCCCTTCATTCTTGCCATTCATATTCTGAGCTGCAGGCCTCTTACTTGCTACTCATCCTGCTTAGGTCTCAATCAAAGCACCACCCATCTGACTGGCACTTAGTGATCACCTGAGCTATATTCTCAACCCAGTCACTTGTTACATTATCAGACTTTATTTCCTTTGAAGCATTGGAATGTGTCTGACACCATTATTATTATTATTGTTGTTGTTGTTGTTATAAACATTGCCCCTCTGTGCTGCCAAGGCTATTCTGGAACCTTCTATTGTAGCCAAGAATGATCTCAAACTCATGATCCTTCTGCCTCTATCTTCCCAGGGCTGGGATTAGAAGAATGCTCTAACATGCCTGGCCTAAGATTTTCTTTCATATCTATTTGTTAATGAGTTTGACATCTCTTTCCATCACAAAGATTAAAGTTTCTAGAAGGCAGAACCCTTTCTGGCTCAGTCATGGTTTTATACTCAATATCTACAAGAAGAAATCAATATTTATTGAGTGTCAGAACAAATAACAGATGGACTGACTCTTCTTTAATCCTGGTGGATACTTAGAGGAAGTGATTAGAATGATAAAATACATTTGAAGAGATGAGAGAAACAATGCAAAACACTGACTCCATTTTGCAAGAGACACCTTACAAATATGAGGTAAGAAATGGGGACATTTTAAAAAGGAATTTATAATATTATGTCTTAAGGAATGTATTAGTCAGAGTTCTCTAGTCACAGAACTTATGGAATGAACATCTATCTATCTATCTATCTATCTATCTATCTATCTATCTCTCTATCTCTCTATCTATCTATCTAGCTAGCTATTGGGAATTTATTGGAATGATTTATAGGCTGCAGTCCAACTAACCTAATAGTGGCTACCTGTAAATGGAAAGTCCAAGAATCTCATAGTTGCTCAGTCCCACAAGGCTGGGTGTGTCTCAGCTCGTCTTCTGTACATGCTGGAATCCCAAAGAAGAAAGCCCCAATGCCAGTGAAGGAGTGGATACTCTGGCAAGGTGAGGGCTAGCAGGCAAAGAACAAAATCTTCCTTCTTCCATGTCCTTATTAAAGCTTCCAGCAGAAGATGTGGCCCAGATTAAAAGTGTGTCTTCCCACCTCAACATTTGGTTTAAAGGTATGTGTTTTCCCAGATCAAAGGTGTATTCTCTTCCCGCCTCAAGATCCAGATCACAGATGGGACCTCCATTTCTGGACTGTAGCTCTTTCCAGATACAGTCAAGTTGATAACCAAGAATAGCCATCCCAAGAACTAATGTTTAATTTTGCTGGGAGCATGCACAAGTTCAGATAGATGCTTGTTACTTACCAGACAGCTTAGTGTGGAAGTTTTAAGAACCTTGGCTTCGGAGAGGCCACATTTATGCTGGACTTGGAACTTTACCTTGAACTTGAAGTGTCACTAATCATCAGTAATGATCCTGCTGAAACACCCTGGGTTTTCTTTTATAGTAACCTTCTGAGGTTTTATATTGTACTTATAGAAATAAGGCCTCAATCCTCAATGAGTGAAGTTTTTACGGGGATGGGCTAGGATTTTTTTTTTTTTTTTGGTCACTGAACAAAAATTCTTATGACAAACACAAAGAGAGAGAGAGAGAGAGAGAGAGAGAGAGAGAGAGAGAGAGAGAGAGAGAGAGAGAGAGAGAGAGAGAGATAGTCACTTAAGAATAGGAAACATGGACTAGGGTCACAAGTGTTCATAAGAGAAGCACCTCTGAAAAGGATCTTTAATTTCTTATTTGTGAACTTCAGAAAAACCCATTTCCTATTCAGCCTTAAGTGATACAGTTAAACTCAGAAAGCAGAGTATGAAGATGTGGAAGAAAATAAAGGAACCAGGCATCAAGAAGAAATGAAGCCTTCTCTATTTTGAGTTCTCTACTGAGTTTCATGTTCAGGGCAATATATAATGGAGGGCATTGTGTTGAGGCATTCAAAATTATATCCACTAGGAAAAACAGACGATAGTCCAAGCTCCATGTCACTAGGAGGAGGCAGTGATGGTGAGGAGGAGCCTCCAAGAAGCTGGAACAGGAAGGAAGTGTCTGAAAGCACCAGATTGGCAATGTGCCTTAAAGCAAAAAGAAACACTCCTGAGGGCACAAGGGGAACCCTTGGTCACATTGGATCCCCTGGTCTCTTATCTTCAATTTTCCTCCTCAAGCTGCTTGAATGTACGAATAGTTAGACTTGTCTTCAACAGGACCTCCATCATAACTGATAGGAGCAAGGCAAATTGAAAATTTACAGCAGCCAGTTTGTATATAAGAAAGGACAGAATAGCATTAAATAAAGTTTGGGATACTTTTAAGCATGAGGTAATATGTGACTCAAGCATCCCTGCATCTTCTCTAACTTTGAGGCATCTGCTCTGGGCATTAAGAACACCAATAACCTTATCTCACTATTTTAGATATATTATGAAGACTCTTCATGACCAATTTCTTGGTCCATTAAAATTACACTTACATTTATCCTTATATTGTGTTATTTTCTTGATGTTAAAAGCAGATTTACATAAATTTCAAGTACATGCTGAGATGACATATTATTTGGTTCCACTAAATAGTCCAAGGTAGGAGGAAAGCAAAAAGCACAAAGGTTCAGCTTATTAGACCTCCTTCAACTAACTTTGTTTCAGAACAATCAACCAAGCAGTAAGATTTTCAGGTGGCTTCTCTAGCGTTCATCACCTTCTAGGGCTTTGTTCCAGTAGTAGTTTCTTTCTTCATTGATATGACATGGTCTAGCACGATTATTGAATAGATGATGTGTAGAAGTATGAGGAACCTTACATGTAGTCTTAGTGGTCCAGAAGCATTTGCTGCCCTGGCAATATACTGATGCTCTCTTTAAAATTCTTCTTTTAGAGAACTTGCAACAGATCTCAGATGATTGGCACAGAATGTTCCAGAGGATAAGAAAGATCCACAGCTAAGGCTATTGTTTTGTTTTTTCTACAGGTAAGTATATTCATGCACTCTATCTACTTAGCCCCCATTTGAAGTTTCTTGAGATAGGGACTTTTAAAATTTCATTCATAGATTTATAATTGATCTAAAAGACAAAGTGTCTAGCTGAAGGTAATTTTAGAAAGTTCACTCAGACCTCCACCTACTGACAACTAGTGTTCATGTGAGATTGCTTGCTTGTGGCAAGGCCACCCTACCCCTGGGTGTGAGAATTCTTCCTCCCTGTCTCTCTCCTCCTTGTGTGTGTTCCAACCTACCCCTGGGCATTAAGGCAACATGACATAAGAATATATTTTCTAAATTTGCATAAAATGAGAACTTCACAGATGGGCAGCACATGCTTCCCATAAGTCCAGTGTGAAAATGGCTCGATAGCACTTGTCGCTACACACATTCTTTCCACATTTCTGGCACACATACATCTTAAACAAACAGGAATTGCGACAAGCAAAACAGATGGGCAACAAAAAAAAGTTTCCAAGGCACGCTTCCCAAAATTCTCCCTTGAACATGGGACTGTATCACTTGTCACAATAAATCTGAAAGTAGTTTGGGTATTAACAGACAGTCTTTGCTGAAGGGGAAAGCTTGAGATATTCATTTCCATAACTCAGGGGAAAATGTTGGAAACACCTTTGCCTCCCCTGATTATGGAGAGACAAGCTCCTGTCCTCTCACATATTGGTGGCTTGCTAATTGTGTAGGAAGCTTTCTCTGGTATCTTCTGGTTCTTTTTCCCACTATACCAAAATAGATGTGGTATAACTAGAGAGCAGGAGGGTGCTAAAGCATATTTCCTATTCCCCATACTGTCAAGTATGGTTCTTGACTTGCTTATTTGAAAACTATGATGGATCAGGTAGCTCTTCTCCAGTTTCCCACACACTCATGTTGAAAATAAGACACCATTATAGTTCTGACTCCATCTCTAAATTTCTAAAATTTTTTGAAATGAAATTAAAAGAACAGTGGATGGAAAATCATGATACAAAGGCTTTGGTGCCCTCTTTAACCTTTAACAGAAGCTGACTCACATCAACTTAGCAAGTCCCTTGAGCTTTCTGGACTTTCACTGCATCTGGTTAATTGGTCCATCAATAGGTCCCATCACCATGGTATTGTTGATAATTATTACCATAAACCCAAGTCCTCATGGAAACCTACTCCCTGTGTAATCACTGTTATTCTAGACTCTGATTTCTGTAGGTACTGGGTCAAGGCCACATTACCTCAGTGCCACACCTCCCTGCTTGTATTCTGCCAGCCACAGCAGCATCTACTTACTCTCCAAGTTAACCCTCTAGCTATGGCAGCCTGCAGAGGCTAAAGAAGGCAAGAATACTGTCGAGTACACTCTCCAGATCAAGTACATTTAACTTGTGAGGTACCAGAGCTCTTATCTAAGTCTTCAACTTCTGGTAGCCATCATTTCTTCTCATGTGGAACTCACAATGGCATGTATCAGTTGCCTGAGTCCGCTAAGCATATCAACCAAGCCACAGCACAGCAGTGTTCTTCACAAAGCCTATATTTGTTCAAGCAAGATTTTTCACACATCAAAGTACTTCAGTTATCCTTATATTGTGCTATTTTCCTGATAATTAACCATCTAGAAACCATCTGTCAGTCATTTCTCTAAAGTCACTTCTTTAAGAATTTCTTTTTAGTGGAAGTTACCTTACACTAGGCCACTTGTTACATACATGTGTTTACAATGCCAATAAATGAAACGATAGAGCTAATGTTACCATCCATGGCGTGTTTTACACAGTAAAGTACTGAAACAGAAGGAATGAGGCCATTCTCTTCAGCTGCATGGAGGAAAGAGGCAAAGCTTTTTACAGGTTGGTATGAGAAAATTAATGGTCTAGCAAAGTTTTGTTTGAGTTTGTTCTTAGTATTTTCTGTTTGCCTATTTTATGTCATAAAAATAAAGTGAAATATATTTTGATTTGTTCTAACTGTGCATCTTCCAAACATATCATGGCAGCCATTGAAGAAAACTGATAGTGAGATTGAAACTGCTGGATTCACCGTGTTCTATTATCAAAGAATAAAAAACTCATCACTTTCCTTATCAAGAACAGGAAATTTGTTTTTATTGCTGTTGTTGTGTGATTATGATCATTGTGGTTATTATTGTTTATGTGTATGTATGTGCATGCACATGCCATGATGCCCATATGGAGTCAGAAGACAACTTTGTGAAGGCAGTTCTCTCCTTCTACCATGTGGGTTCTGGGGATGGAACTTGGGCCACATGACTTGGTTGGCAGCATTCTAAGCCATCCTGCTGGCCCTGTTTGGTGTTTTGAGACAGGAGCTCATAGAACTCAAGCTGACCTGGAACTTGCTACATAGACGAGGAGAAGATAACCTTAGAGTACCTGTGCCATCACATCTGGCTAAAATGTGTCGTTATTTAATTACTATTATTTTGGTTTGTTTTAAACAAAGATTCACCATGGAGCCCAGGCTGACACAGAACCCTTGTCAGTTCTTTTGCTCTGTCCTCAATGCTAGGATTACAGACATGTGTCATCACACCCCCTCGAACTGTGTGTGTGTGTGTGTGTGTGTGTGTGTGTGTGTGTGTGTGTGTGTGTGTGTTAATGTTTTGTGTTGTTTTTTATGTGGCGCTGTTTACTGTACGAGAGAAACATGAGGCACAACAACACCCACTATAAGAGTTTATTAAGGGAGAGTAAAGAAGGGGTGTGGAATAGGCCTACTAGAAGCGAACGGTGTGGGAGAAGAGATAGGGAAATGGGTGGAATCTGCTTTTATGGGTCCCCTGGGCATGCGCATATGGTCATATGCAGCTACATCATGCATGAGCATGTGGTCATGCTGCGTGCAAATGTGATCACGAGGTGCATGTATTTTGTAGGACATAAGGCCCTGGGATGACTAAGCATCTTGCCTGGCTGCTGGACATGTAGTTGGGGGAGTGACTAGGAATCCTAAAAATCTGCACTAAGAATAAAGGTAAATGAGATCTTCAATTGACTCTTGTATAATATTTTTGTGTGTAATATATATATACATATATGTGTGTGTGTGTGTATATATATATATATATATATAATATTTGGCTAAAATTCTCCCTTTTCAGAAGGCAGTTTGTTATGTTGGTGTGAGGTGAGTTTACTTTGCTAGTAAATGTGGGCCCTGAAGTGGCTAGGAATAAGAAATGTGAAGGGTGGTGAAGGAAGCCAGTCTGAACAAAGAATGTGGCATGGGCAGCCTGCCTGGTGGGAAGTCTACCCACTGACTGTCAGCAGTTAATCATGGAGATCAAAAACACTCTGGGGAAAAAAAAAAAGCACTTTCTAAAACAGGGACTTCTAAAGTCATCAAAATTTTAACATTCAGACTTCTGGTTCTTTCAAATTGCAGTCATTTTTTCAACCTACCAGGTTAATTTTCTAGACTCTGAGTTCCTCCTCTAAGTCACTTGTGAGAAAATGTCAGTGTGACATCATGGTAGGCCTTCAGGAACAAATTCCAATAATTCAGAACACTATGGTGGAATCTTCCTTCCTGTTTGCAGGAAAAGGCAAGCTCAGGGAGCCAAGTCCCTCATCCAGATAATTAGCAACTCTCCAATCTGTTAATTGAGGACATGTGTGCCAAACTTTCTTGGCAACCTCAGTCAGACAGTTGTAGGTGGTCAGTCCATCAGTCACAGTTGCAGAGTGCCAGAGTGTGTTCGGCCCTACATTAAAAACTCTGCATTAAAGACAGATCTGATGTGCTCTTTGACTTGAAAAAATAAACGTGCTAAATTTTTTTGGAAATTGGCTGTTCTCAGTCCTAAATTTGGTGAGGCTGAGAACAAAATGATTTCATTAACCCTATCTCTTTTCATGGTCTTCAATGGAAAAAACAACTTCCTTTCCTGGTTTCACTGTAACTCTGGAGGAAATTTCAAGAATGAGGTACAGTTCTGTCTAAACACAGGTGACTAAGCAGAGATGAGGCAGGGATGCTAATGTGGAAAAACAGATCCTGGCAAGGAACCATTCATAACCGGAGTTATTCAGAAGGTTCCTCGAAGTTTCTGGCATATTTTTACAGATCTAAATGCAGTTACCTGGTGTCCTCTCAGTGCTTGTGCACTGTCACCTACTGTGCAAGTAACACAGACATTCCACATAAAGAATGAGGGAGGATGACCAACAGGTAGAGCTGGGAAAAGACTTGACACTAGGAGAAGCAGAGCAAATGCCACCAGAGGTACATCAAACACTCCAGTGCAGAGAAAGAATAATTATCTGATTTGGGGAGTCCCCCAAGAAATAAGATATTCACTTGCACATAAGTTGTACTGAATCCTACTCACTTCTCACATGTTTTACAAATATGGTCATCCAAGCAAGTTGCAATTCATGTCTTGGCCTAAATAAAAATTCACATGTGTGTCTGTGAGTGTCCAAGGGTGATACGCAAGCTCCCAGAAGTCATAGGCAGGTCTTAGTGTCTTGCTTTGTTCCTCTCCAGCTCATTCCACTGAGATAGGATCTCTTACTGAACCTGGAGCTAGACCGTTGGCCAATAAGCCCAAACAGTCCTCCTGTCTCTGATTCCAGAAGTACTAGTGTGACAGGTGTATACATCTATGTCTGGCTTTTTATTGGTGCTCAGTTTCTCATGCCTGTAGGGCAAGTGCTCTTACTCACTAAGCCACCCTCAGCTCCAAAACGCAAATATGTTTTGTAAGAATAATAAATGTGTATTTTTTCAGTTTTAAACTGTTTTCTAAGATGTACAAACTCACCTGCTCAGTTTGAGTTGAACTCACAATAAAAAAAAAAAAAAAAAGAAAGTGTAGACATTAAACATTGTGAAGGCAAGTTCAGGGTTAAAAAGTCCCTGAGCAATCACAGAAATCCTGTCTGCCAAATGTGGGGGAAAAAAGAAATTCTGTGGCTCTGTAAATACTGAACAAAGCTCATTGTGAAGTAATGTGCATTTAAGGTTTTCAAATTAAGGTCAGTTTTAATGAGTTGCAACTGGCTAGTAGAACCATGTTTGTAAAACATGTGAAAAGTGAGTGGGATTCAGCCACAACTTATGTGCATGTGAATACCTCAACTGTAACACATTCAAAGGATTTTTAATGTGTTGTTAGCTACTTTACAGTTTTAAAAAAATAGTACTTGACATTTGAAAGTGAAATGATATGTGCAAAACATTAGTCAGATGGAGCGTCTCGCTTTGTGAATGAACTGTGTATAGTCTGAACAAACTAAACCTAACACTTGGTAGCATCAGCCCTTCAGTTTGTGGCCACAAACCACATGCCCATAGCCCCTGATATTTTGCCTAATTAAACTGCCCAGATCAGAAATGCATTGGTAATAAGAGCAGTTTACTCAGGGGGAGGAAGAAAAAACTCAGAGGAGGAAGTACTGATCTATGCTATGATGGCTAGACTTTAGTAATAGCAGCTCTAACCCTCTGTGTGTTCCCATATCTTATTCACATTAGGACTTCCAGCACACAGTAAGTGCACAGTAAATGTTTCACAGACTTTGAAATCTAAATTCCTGCTCAGGTTTATTTAGATCCCTTTTTAGAAAGAATTCTAATGCTTTCATGTCTAAAATCTTTCCAGTAGGGAAAAATGAGTTTTATTTTATCTTCACATCATAGAGTCAAGGACATAATCATTTTCTTTTCTAGCTAGGATTTCACAGTTTGGAGTTCAGAAAATAGGGCTTGGGAGTCCATTACATGAATACCCTGAAACTATACAGGCACAATGACACAGTAAAATAATGCAGCAGCCAGGGTAGTAATTTCTAGCTCCTGAAAATGATGATGAATCCTTATACATGAATTACATCTGATAGCTGGTTCTATGCAATGAGTTATGTATTTCAACGAAAAAATATATTCACTCCAATGTTTGGGATGAGTTTTTGAAATGTGGTTATTACAGCAGCCCTACCCCCTACTCTTCCTCCTCCTTCTCCTCTTCATCCCCCCTTCTCCTTTTAAGTAGTGTCAGGCTTTTTTTAGCCAAAATACTTTCTAAGTGCCCCAAAATTACATAATAAATTAATTACTAAATACATTTTTCTAATACATTTTTACCTAAGCAAGATATTTCCCTGACTTCTTTTTAAATTGCATGCAGCAGAAACTTAGACCTTTCTAAGTTCAAACCTCTGCTGAGATATTGCAAAATGAACACAATCCCAGCACAGCAGTTGGGCAGGTTCTTCTTATAAGCACTCATTTTCAAAATAGGCTGTGTGAGGCCATCAGATCATGGGATGTCCTCTGATGTATGTCATCACATAGGTAGAAAACCTAGACACCAAATGGACATTCCACCATCTGTGGGCTCACTGTAGGACTCCAGACTCCCTGTCCATTAGATACAGCACAGTGCTATGCCATTGTGAGACAGATTCTTGCACAATGGGGAAGATGTCCTCTTCTGTAAAATACTGGAGACAGTTGGCCATCTGCACCTACAGACTTTCTATCTGTGATTTCAAACAGTTATGGATGAAAATCACGAAAATGGCTGGGGAGATGGCTCACTGGGAAAAGCACTTGCTGCGCAAGTATGAAAACTAGAATTAGGGGACCCAGCATCCTTGTAAATGCTGGGATGGTGTGTGTGGTGGTCCACTTGTAATCTCAGCACAAGGAACACAGAGACAGGACATTCTCAGAGCAAACTAGCTAGCTAGACAGCCAAATTGGGAAGTTTCAGATTTATCAAGAGACCTCAATCTATGTATATAATGTGGAAGACATTATTGGAAGACTATTGGAAGACAACTCTTGTCAACTTTTGGCCTCCACACACATGCACACATTGCAAACAGTACACTCACCACCATACACCAACATACACAAAATATTCTATCTATATTGAATATGTTTATGCATTTTTGTTGTCATACTCCATAAACTGTTCAGTATTATAACAGTTTTCAAAGCAATAACAT